TGCTGTAAGAGAGCACAGCCTTGGGGAAGGGCCATCTACCCCACCCAGCCAGGCCTTTTACTAATACAAAAGAGGAGATAAGCCTCAACGACCCGGTATTACAATAACAAAGCACTAAGAACACTGGCAGAGACAGATCTGGCTGCGTCCCTGTAACTCTTTCTCACAAAAAAAATATTAACCGAATTTTTGTTGATAACATGCCACAGCCTCTGGGCTCTGGGCAGGGGCTCAGGGAAATGGGGTTTCCCATTGTTACCTTGCTTGCATGGGTCTTTCAGCAGTGAAGAGATAGACGAGAATCTTGATCCATAATCAGAAGGCTGGATTTGTTAATTTATGATCTATAATACATTAAGACTGTGCTAATAGGAATAGAAAGAAAAGCTCAGAAGCTGCTAAGCTAAGAATAGAATAGGAATGAATAAACAAAAGGAGCTCTCTCTCATCTGTCCCAGAGAAAGCTTGGTTTTTGATTGGCCCTTAATTGTAAGCATGGAACATGGGCCAATCACAGGTGCACCTGTTGCATTCCACAGCAGCAGATAACCATTGTTTACATTCTTCTTCTGGGGCTTCAGCTTCCCAGAAGGGGGAAAATCCTAAAGAAAGGATTTTTCACAAAAGATGGCTGTGACATTCCACAGGGAGAGAGGAGTAGGAGTGTTGGGGGTGGGATGGTGGGGATGGATGGAGATGAGAGATCTCTGCAGCCAGGGCTGGAACTTGGGGTTCATTGCAAAGGGCCTGGGTGCAGGGCCCTGCTGGGAGCTGCAGCCACAGCTCAGAGCAGGCCCCAAAGGGGAAGAGAGAGCCAGCGAAGAATAAAAGCAAGAGGGAAAGAGAGTAAGGTTCCCGTTACAATACCATAAATCTTCTTCTGTGTTGAATATTCTGATTCTCACTAACCAATCTAGTACAAGATACAAATCCTATAGCATTTACATACAGCCTGTAAGAATCATTACATTACCATACTGGGTTATATTTTAAACCCTAAAAACTCCTCTTTGTGCCCCTTCTGCCAAGCTGGCAGGGTCTGCTCTGACCCTTGGGCCTGCCTGCAAGAGAGGGAGTTTTTTCATCAAAAGGGGATCACCTTCAGCGCAGCCACACCATTGTTTTCCAGTTGTTCAGTAACTGAGAGATCTAAAGCTTGCTTTCATTTCAATCTCACTTACAGTTTCCATATTCTCAAAATCTTTTGCCAGGCAATCATATTTGTAAGGCTTTCCTGTTTCATCTCCCCCAACAGAGGCTGGCCTGGGCCTGCCAAATGAAACAGAGTGTCACCATGATATTTTCTGAAAAATCCTCTTTGCCCAGGATTTTTGCCCAGGAAGTTGAGAAGTCTCAGAAAAGAATGAAAACAATAATTATCTGATTGTTTGGGAATGTGGTCTGGAGATTGTTTACCAGCAGGTGCATCTTTGATTGGTTCCATGTGAATTGTTTTTAATTAATGACCAATCACCATCAGCTGTGTTGGACTCTGAGGAGTCAGTCATGAGCTTTCATCATTATTCTTGTTCAGCCTCCTGATCCATCCTTTCTCTTTCTTTAGTATAGTTTTAGTGTATCATTTCTTTTAATATTATATAACATCGTAAAATAATAAATCAGCCTTCTGAGAACATGAAGTCAAAAATTCTCATCTCTCACCTCGTCCTGGGGACCTCACAACACCACAGCAGAGCACAGAAGGGATTCCTTGGAGCCCCAGTGGTGCCGTAGAGCAGACAAGGAGCCAGAGCTTCAGGCCTGCAGCAGAAAACACAGCTGGGAATGGGAGGGCCATGAGCTGGGGAAGGAGGTGCAGAGGGGACACAATCAAGGCCTGATTGTCCTTTCAGGTCTTTTCTAGTGGGTGGTTATCAAAAATCAGGCAACCCCAATATCTGGGAATGACTCCAAGGCTTTGGAATGCTGATCACTCACTTTATTAAAACTATACTATATTACATTTTATTATACTATAACTATACTACATCATACTCACTTCTAATTACTGAAAAATACTACTCAAAAACTACTGACCATCTGCTGACAGTCAGGACACAGCTTGGACCTGATAGGCTAATTAACATAAACAATTCCACCAGAATCCAATCAAAGAATCACGTTGGTTAAACAATCTCCAGAACATTCCACAGGAGCAGCAAACGAGATAAGAATAGTTTTAATCATTCTTTTCTCTTTTCAGAGAGCATGTGAATACCACAGGAGGTGTCCTTGTCCATGGCAGGGGTGGGAGTGGATGGTCTTCAACCCAAACCCTTCTGTGATCCTGATCTCTGGGAGTCTCTGTCTCACACTCTCAGGCTTTTCACAGGGGTTTGTGTTTGGGTGCTCCCATGTCTCACCTGCTCTCTTTCCACCCCTCCCTGAAGAGCCCCAGCCAGACATTGGCCTGCCCCGTGAGAGGCTGTCCCGGGCAGAGGAGCTCAAGGAAAGGAAGAGGATCCTGAGGGAGAACCGCCGCAATGCTGAGATGGAGCGGGCGGCGCGGCTCCGCACCGGTCAGTGCCCAGCCCCTCCCCTCCTGCTCCAGCTGCTCTGGGTGTCCCCCTGCTGCCTCTGCATCCTCCCTCTGGCCTTGCAGTGCTCATTCCCCTCGACGAGGTCAGGGCTGAGTGGGAGAGGACCAGCGGCCCGTTCCACAAGCAGCGCGTGGCCAAGCACTGCGGGCTGTTCCGGGACCTGTTCAAGGGGGCCACCTTCACCCCCTGGGTGGCCCTGAGGGTGCACTACAGCCAGGAGGACGAGTACCTCGTGCCAGTCTACTATGGGAACATGGTGACTCCATCAGAGGTGCGTGAGGGGAGCTGGGAACAACTTGGAGCCCCTGGGAAGCCTCTTTCTGCCAGATTCTTCCAGTGGGCATGGGGTGTTCCAGGGGTTGCTTTTTACAAGGGTGTTTCCTCTGTGCTGAAGGAAAATACTTTATGGATGTGATAGGGACAGAGATTGGAGGCTGTCTGGCAGGAGGCTGATGGTTATTTATGCCCTGTGTTGTGTCCCAGCCTTGCCCAGACACAGTTCATGGGAGCTGTTGTGTGAGTGATTTACATTCTCTTTGTGTTGCTCCTTTAGGCTTCCAGTCCCCCTGAAGTGTCATATGAGGCAGACAAAGGCTCCCTCTGGACCTTGTTGCTTACAAATCCAGGTGAGCAGTGAGTTCTTTAAAGGAACGTGTTTAAACTGGGTTTCTTAAGCTGTTTCTCTCAGCTTTTGGTTAACTCCTGATTCTTTTGGCTGCACAGATATAACGAACACTGGAAGTGTTCAAGGCCGGGTTGGAGCAGCCTGGTTTAGTGGAAGGTGTCCCTGCCTATAGCAGGGAGTGGGATGAGCTTTAAGGTCCCTTCCAGCCCAAACTGTGCTGTAATTCTGTGATTATATCTGTTAGACTGGGACATGTTACATATGGAGGAAAGATTGTAGCCTCCCCAAATCTGTAGCAATTGAGAGAAGGGACAGTGACACAATAAGATCTGTGTCTCACTATAGAGGAAACAATTTCCTGACTCCCATCTTTGTTACCTCCAAACTCCTCTTCCTTGGCAGTCTGCCTGGAAGGCAGCTTTGCTGACACTGTTCACCCTGAGAGACCAAGGCATAGTGATGGATGCAGCTGCCCAAGAAGATTTCAAGAATCTTGGAATTAGATCTGCAGACTTCTTTGCTCCTCATTTTAAACTCAGTCCTATAGGATTGAGCTCCTTTCCTGCTGGGGAAGGAATGCTGGGAGGTCTTGAGCTGTTTCCTCTGGTCAAAGCAGGTCTGGGCATTCTCACTTTGGGGTGGATGCTGGCACCAGGGTGTCCCTAAGTCCCTTTTCCCTGTTGTGTGTTGGCAGATGGACATTTGAGGGATGCAGACTCGGAGTACCTCCACTGGCTGGTGTGAGTACATCAGAGCCAGGTGCTCTGTGCTTGTGGGCTGGGCAGAAACTCCTCCAGCAGCTCAGAATCCATGGCTTTTCCTGGTGCTCCTGCCATCAGCTCCTTTAGCCCTGTGTTCTGGGTCCTGCCAAGGATGCAGGAGTTCCAGATGTTGCTGCTGTTCAGCATTCCAGTCATTGGGTGGGATTTTTCCTGTGGTGAAAGCAAGCTCTGTTATTTGTTCCCTTATCAAGCGGAGCAGAAATCACATCACAGCCTGGCAGAGGGATTTGCAGTCCTGGATGAATCTGCTGGAGAGAAATGAGTGTAAATGTGTTTGTGTTCAGGACAAACATCCCAGGCAGTGACATCAAGGCTGGTAAGGAGATGTGCCACTACCTGCCCCCTTTCCCTGCCATGGGGACAGGCTACCACCGCTTCATCTTCCTGCTCTTCAAGCAACACGGGCCCATCGACTTCAGCCAGGACGCTCGGCCCACACCCTGGTAATTCCTCTGCTCCTGCTGCCCTTGGCTCCTGCTGCTGCTTGTGGGGTTTGTGTGCCTGTCACTGCACTAGAGGAGCAGCTCCTGCCACTCTGCAGAGTTCTCCAGGGCTGCTTTGGTTTGTGTGTCCTGTGCAGACACAGTCCCAGTACTGCAGAGTCCTGTTGTTACAGAACAGGATGTTAGAGAGTGGTTTGTCCTGCCCAGAAATGTGCACAGAGCTGGAGATGCTAAGGAAGCCACTAAAAGGGAGATTTCGTCTTAGTGGCTTCCTTTTCCACCTCTGTCATTTGCCCTGGGGTGATGTGGAGCAGGGTACTTGCTGCAAGGAGAGGTTCACCTGGTGCTTGTGTCTTGTTTCCAGCTACAGCCTGAAGATGAGAACCTTCAGCACGTTTGACTTCTACAGAAAGCATAAGGATGCCATGACCCCGGCAGGGCTGGCATTTTTCCAGTGTCAGTGGGACAGCTCTGTCACTTCCACCTTCCATCAGCTGCTCAGTAAGGAATGGGGACACTGGAGGGGGTCTGTGGGTGGGACATGGCCCTGTGGCTGCAGGCTCTCAGTTGCTCCTGGCACTTACCCAGGATCAGCACAGACTAAGCCCTTCCTGAGCCATCCTCCTCCAAACTGAAGGAGCAACCCCTAACCCTTGGCTGAGGATTTTAAAACAACTCCAAGGGCACGTTTGAGCAGCCCTGCCCTGTGTGGTGAGGGAGGGGGTGTGGGGTTCAGCTGTGAGCCCCTGCTGACCTGTGACTCTCTGCAGACATGAGGGAGCCGGTGTTCGAGTTCGTGCGGCCGCCGCCGTTCCACCCTCCGCAGGTGAAGTTCCCTCGGCACCAGCCCCTGAGGTACCTGGACAGGTACCGGGACACACAGGAGCCCACCTATGGCATCTACTAGGAGCTGTCCCCTCTGTGTCCCTGGGATGCTGCCTCCTGGATTTCCTGTGCTCCCCTCACTGCCTCAGGAGGGAAGTGGCAAAGTCTCAGCTCCCAGTTCCCCTGGGTGCTCACAGGGCTAGCAGACAAGAACATTCTTGTGAAGAACATAACAAGAACATTCAAAGTTAATCCATAGCCAGGCTGAAACCTTGCTCCTGATTCTGCAGCAGAGCTGGCAATGACTGCATCCCCAGAGATGCTCTGCCTTGCTTCCCTGCAAGGATCACAGTTTTCCTTTTGCCTGTTTATGGAGCAAACAGAGCCAGGCCAGCCTGGATTTCCACCTCTCATAGTGCTGTGGTTCTGGGCTGTGTCAGATTTTATTTGTGCAGTCCTCCTGGAGAGATGAGTCTGATTAAACAGTCTCTGAGCAGTGCTGGCAGAGCTGTCTTTATTGGGAAGAGCCTGTTACCCTGGGCAGTTGGCCCAGAGCTGGGGAGCCCAGCAGGGTGCAGGGGAGATGGGCAGCCCTTCACTGGCCAGAGTCACTTCTCTTTTTGGATATTGTAGTTTGGGAAGAGCGTGGCTGTTGGGGGTACCAGTTGTTGGTTTTTCTGGCTCTGGATTGAAGGCACTTGACACAGTAATTCATGTTTGGACTCAGGTGTTTATTATTTCTCATCAGTAAAACAGCCTCACTACTGTGAGTTCTGCAGCTTTTCATTAGAAGGCACAAAATAACCAACAATCTCTTGGTACAAGGTCTTTTAAGACTAAATTATCCAATTAGGAACTGACACCTGGATTATTTTCCCTTTTAACCCAATAACTGATCCCAAAGAGCTGCAATGGGGACTTTTCCACCCAATTACAAAATGCCACCCAAACCCATGAAGAAGGAGGAAGAAGCAGCATGAAGAAGAAACCCAGGATGACACCCTGTGCCCTCCATCTTGCTTCCATCCACAACACACTAAAAATCCCAAAACCTAAATTTCTCACCCAGTGATCCACCTACACTGCTCTCTATAATCTATTTCACACTTTTGTGGATTCCAGTTTATCTTGAGGTCTAGGAAACTTTCAGCATGAATGAGGATCAAAGTCAGTGCTCCTCTGGCAGTCAGGGCATCCCAGAGCAGACAGAGAAATATTCCCTGTGCTGCCCTGGGTTTCCACATGAGGCTGCACAGGTGGTAAACCTGCACAAAGTCTCTGGTTCCCTTTTTCTGAGGTTCCTTCTACCATTGGAAATTGGAGCCTTCAGCAAAGAGCTGAGATTGGGCTGAAGGGCCCCCCTGCTGCCTGTGCTCAGGGCTGTCACCGCTTCCCCCAGAGCTCCTCCCAGCCTGAAGGGTTCTGGGGTCTGGTTTAAGCTGGGCTGAGTGCACTGGGGAGGTGCCCACACTGGGGACACAGGTTCCAGGCAGACACACAGGTCGTGTTAGCCTCTCTGGGCTTTGGTCAGAATTGACAGCTGCAGCCCAAAGGAATGTTTTGGAGCTGAAGCTTGCTGGGACATGCAGGAAGTTGTGACATATCCCAAGTCCTCTGCTGTGCTCAGGGGGGTGGCTGAGCCTGCCTGTGCTGTGGAAGCTGGTGTGGATGATCCACCAGAGAGCTGCTCCCTGCTTGCCCTCACCTGTGCAGGTGAAAGGGAAGCTGCTCATGAGGGGTGGCTGGAAAAACAAGGCTGGGAACATGAGCAAGATAACACATGGGCCTGGCACAGAGATAAGGCTTGGGCTGGGTAAACTGAAACTGAACTGTGGCAACGAGGGGAAGGTTTGCAGTGCACAGGCACCAGCCTCTGGGCAGGAGATTCCACCTGAGCAGGGACAGGTGGCACAGGTGGCATCTTTATTCTGTTTCAGGGTGCTGATGTGCACGGGTGTTGCAAGGAAATTCGTAGGAAAAGGTGTGGTGGGTGTGCATGGGGACATGCCAACTGCAGGAGCTGTGGTTTAGAAGGTGCAAGGGAAGAACGTGGTGCTGGTGTGTGCCACAGCCTTGTGCCACAGCCTTGCCAGGGCACAGGGAGGGGATGTGTGGCCACAGCAGCAGCAGTGGGTGCCTCTCTGCTGGTTCCCAGGCTGGAGCTCTGCACAGACGTCTCAGTGCCAGGGGGAACTGCTGTCACAGACATATTTAATGGAAAATCCTTTCCTTAGGATTTTTCCTCCTGAGAAGCTG